AACGTTCTCTTAAGAAGAAAAGTAGTAGGAGGAAAAGCGGTATCTCTCTTTCGATTAAGGATTTTCGAGACATCGAGGAGCTGCAGACTGTTGATGCTTTCCGTCAGGCATTAATCGCCGAGCAGTTGCTTCCTGCTAGACATGACGATTATCATATGCCACTCAGGTGGGTTGAAAATTGGAATAGAAACATAACCGACGCACGATTGGTCTGTGTGTGTTGTGCTTATGGAAATAGGTGTTTTCTTGCAGATTCTTGAAAGCAAGGAAGTTTGACATCGAAAAAGCGAAGCACATGTGGGATAATATGATCCAATGGAGGAAAGACTTTGGTACTGATACTATTTTGGAGGTGATCCTCTCTTACTGCAAGAGTGCTCCACATTATCTCTGGGATCTTAGTTACTGCATTAGATATTTGCCTCTATCCTAAGTTTTAAGGACATGTATAACTTCTTTATTTCCGGGTTGTTTATTTACTTGTTGCCTGATTTATATAAAGCAATGCGCACTTTTTTCTTTTAATGTTATTATGATTTAATCAGGATTTTGATTTCTGTGAGCTGAATGAGGTGTTGAAGCACTACCCTCAAGGTTATCATGGGGTGGATAAGGAAGGAAGGCCTGTTTACATTGAATTGCTAGGAAAAGTTGAGCCTGACCAGCTCATGCGAGTCACAACTTTGGATCGATATGTGAGATACCATGTGCAGGAATTTGAAAATTGTTTTGCAATTAAGTTTCCAGCTTGCTCCATTGCTGCAAAGAGACACATAGATTCAAGCACAACTATTTTGGATGTTCAAGGCATGGTATGTCTTATGCTGGATCTTATAATTTTATGGTCTGCCCTACCATCATTTTTGTGTTGGTCTGATTAGAGTTTTTTTTTTTAACATTTACATTGCTCACTCCCAGTCATTTTTTTCATAGGGTTACAAAAATTTTAGCAAGGCTGCACAAGATCTTGTGAAGCGGCTGCAGAAGATTGATGGTGATAACTATCCTGAGGTAGATGTTCTTCTACTTGCTAATGTGCTTAGATATTTTGTGAATATTGGTTCTATTTTCAATATTGAAAGGAATTTTTATTATTATCAATGCCCCTCTACAGACTCTTTACCGAATGTTCATCATAAATGCTGGTCCGGGTTTTAAGATGGGTCTGAAAGCTGTTAAATCTTTTCTTGATTCTAAAACAGCTAGTAAGATCAATGTAAGTTCAAAATGTTTGTATAATTTGGCTTTCTACTAAAGTATCTACTCTTCTCAGTTGGTAGATGTTACCTCATTTTTGGAATTTCTTTCAGGTTCTGAGTAGCAACTACCAGAATAAGTTGCTTGAAATTATTGATGCAAGGTAATTATTTTTTTGGCTGCTGATATATTGATTAATTCACATTTAATTGTAATGGAAACTAAAAGTTTTTAATATATTGAACATGGTTAGTGAGTTGCCGCAATTTCTTGGGGGTAGTTGCACTTTGCTGATCAGGGAGGTTGTATGAGATCAGACAAAGGACCCTGGAAAGACCCCAACATATTAAAGGTCTGATATGCACTCTCTGAATTAATTTAATTTATTTTTGTCTTCCCTTTTTCTGTGCAATCTCATATATATTTTAAGTAATACGATCAACTGCCTTCATGCAGATGATTGCAAGTGGTGAAGCACTATTTCCTAGGCAGATTGTGACAATTTCAAACTGCGAAGGAAGGGTAATTGCTTATGATAAGCCATGTTATCCTGTTGTATGATTCACTAATTGTCTTTTGCAATGCATATCATACCTTCTCAGCTTTGAGTTTTGCATTGTTAGAATTCAGTCGAATTTTCTGTAGTTTTATTTCTGCATTTATTTATGTTTATACCATGTCAGATAAAGAGTAGTGACACGTCTGCAGCAGAGTCAGGATCGGAAGTGGAAGACATTACTTCACCTAAGAAAACTAGGAGCTATTTACATCCAATATTGGCTCCTGTTAGCGAAGAGGTAGATACTTGCAAATTGCGATGACTGATTGACATAAAAGGATTTCGTTAACATGCTAGATTCACAGTTTTAAACACCACCTAATGCCAGGATAGTCTTTCTTCAATCCTAGGAGTATGCATGTGGATGGTTTGCTGACTGTATTAAATGACATGGTAACATCCTAAGAAGTAAGAAGTAGGAGAACACTTTCGTCTCACACTATAGGTTCTTTGAGCTTGAAGTTATAACAATGTACACTGATGTTTGTGTAGGCGAGAATGGCTGGCAAATCAATCTCTGCTGGTGGTTTGTATGAGCCTGGTGAATATGTTCCCATGATCGACAAGGTTGTAGATTCTGAATGTGAGAGACAAGTGTCACGTCAGAGTCCATCCAGTTCTAAAGGTTAGTAAACTGGACTATGTTTAAAAGCTGTTTTCGCTTCTTCTTTTTTACTTGGTTAATGTAACGGGAGAAATTATTGTCTATACTGTATGCCATCTTAACTATAAATAGTTCTTGTTTTTATTGCAACTTCTAACGCGGTATCATTCTGCATACAGTGATTAGATTCAAAATCAAAGGCCTTCTAATCAATGTCAACCCTTTAGTATCTAGGTCCTCATATGCATATGGTATTAAATTCATGGTCTCTAATGATAATCTATACCCAGAATAAACAGAATATTGTCAGGCTTTGGACATCTCTTTTTTCCCCCTTTCTCTACTCATCTTATCAAAGCTTTTAGCACGGTGTCACAGATTTAATCAAATCATGAATAATGATAACAGTGTAACCAAAACCAGAGCTGGATTTTTTCCCTGAATTTTCAATATGTTTGACTTTGAAGTCTATTGTCTTTAATTGCAGGAGTTCCTCTGCTTATGGAAAGGAAAACTCCAAAAGGAATATATGGTTATAGCACTGCCCTAGTTGTTGCCTTTTTGACATTTTTAACTGTTATCCGAAAAATAGTGTTGAAGCTGATGAAAAAGCAGAGTACAAGTGAGTTAACATGTAGCATTCTTGAGGAGCATGTTGAGCCAACATACAAGGAGGAAACTCGTCCCCCCTCACCTGCTCCAGTGTTTACTGAGGCAGACATCGTGTCATCTGTTGTCAGAAGGCTGGGTGATCTGGAAGACAAGGTTGAGATGCTGCAATCAAAAAGATTTGAGATGCCTCATGAGAAAGAGGAGTTACTGAATGCTGCAGTATATCGTGTGGATGCGCTAGAAGCAGAACTAATTGCTACAAAGAAGGTAATTGTTATCTGATGTAAGAGAGAGTTAGGGTGATGCCGTTACAGCTAGTTATTTGATATAAGTTTCTATAATGATGAAATCTTTTCTTCTTTGTCGATGGGAGTTAGCGATAGGAGTGTTATTTACTGAACTTGTATGCGTGTGAACAGGCTCTTCACGAAGCATTAATTCGGCAGGAAGAACTCCTTGCATATATAGATAGTGAAGAAGAAGCCAAATCTGGGGTAAGTCGAAAAGGATTCATTTACATTCCACCTTTTTTTCTTTGGAAGATAAACAGGATCACTTAACCATTAATAGCACATCCAAAACAGCATTGTTTGAAATACAACTAGGAATATCAGAAACAAACCGCAAAGGGTTTGAGCAAGAATCGACTTTTCTATACATGCTACTGTATGATTGGTTTTCATCAGTTGTGTAAAGTTTGCATGCATGATGCAGAAAAAGTTCTTGTGCTGGTGAAAATGAGAATGAGAAGATTTTTGTGCCGAAAAAAGACTGACCAAGCGTTCAGCAATAATATTTTGTATTCTGCAAACAGAAATTGATTGTAAATAGAAAAATACCGCTCAGTTACGTTGGACTCGCTTAACTGCAGAGGTGACTGGTTATTGTTTGCTTTCTTTTCCCCTTTAATTTTCAATGTAAAAATAGAGAGAACAATGCTGTTTTGTTTCGTGTGCCACCGTTCTTGTACTGTATTTATCATGTCTTTTGCCTCTTACTTTTGGGAACTGGAATAGGGACAAAGGTTATTTATGTATTAGGGTTTATCTATGTTTTAGATTTTTTAATTAAAATAAATAAGATTTTGTAAATTTTAATTTACACAATTTGTTTATAAAAAAGAATTGAATCTTGAATCTTAATCTAAACAGTAGATATTTGGTTTATTAAATCAAATTATACTATTTGTCTCGTATTGTATGACTGCTTTCTGATTTTTGTTCTCAAAATAATATATGTTAAGTCTTGTCATTTATTTTTATATTTTTATATGAGGTAGAATAAAAAATTAAATGCCAAAAATATATAAATTTAAATTAATTAAATTTAGATTCAGAGACCTATTTTCTTAACGTCTTAAATCTATAATTTATATATTACAAAGTAATAAAGAAAAAGGGATTAATAGTACGAATGAGTTTGTCACACTCGACGAGCACGGTTGAGTACCATTAACGATAAATATTGTTGAGTATCATTAATTTAATTTATAAAAATTTTAAATTATAAAATATTCAACGTATAATTATAAACTAACTAAAATTTAAAAGTAAATTATTTAAAGTAAAATATTAATTAGATTATTTTTCATAATTTTTTTAACAATAAAAAGTTTATAACTTACCTTTAAAAAGTTATTAAAAGATTATAGAAAATAATATAATTCATATTTTATTTTAAATATTTTATTTTTAAAATATTTAACTAATTTATAATTATACGTTGAGTTTTTTTAAATTTTAATTTTTTTATAAATTAAATCAATGGTGTTCACTAGTACTAATCGTTAATAGTATTTTTCGTAGAATTTTCCTTAATTAATAGTAATTAGTAATTATTTAATAAACGATATTTTAAGTTACTTAAACAAGATTTAGTTTCCAGTTCTTTAATAAAGTAAGTGTATTTAGTTTATTGGTTAAACTATTATCTTTGTTCTCTCATGTACATTTGGTTTGTTAGTTAATTTATTAATTTTTATTCTCTCATATTTCCAAAAATAATGAATTTCAAATTGATTATAAACATTCTTCTTCAAAGATTTTGGGTCTCATTTGCTTCTCAATGTTGATGCGTCTTCAGAACAATCTACTTTTATCAAAGGTTTGTCTAATTATATGGGTTTTACATTTGTCATCTTTCCTTGCCGTGTTATTCTCGACTATCTGACTGATTTTTTTCACTATCGTTTTCCCCCATTTTCAGGTTTTTCTGGGTTGTCACGCAAATGGATTTTCCAGTCTTATTTCTGGATCAAAAATTTTAAGAGGTTTCAATGAGACTGCAGGATTCTCTGCAGTGTCGGGTGATAATCTAAGGAGCCAATCTAAGAGTTCCCTGAGGAATTACCAAGTTGTGGTGGCAGCGACTCGTGAAATGGGGATTGGGAAAGATGGTAAGTTACCATGGAGATTGCCTTCTGACCTCAAATTCTTCAAGGAGCTTACAGTGACAACATCAGATCCTGAGAAGAAGAACGCTGTAGTAATGGGTAGAAAAACCTGGGAGAGTATTCCACTTGAAAATAGACCTTTACCTGGTCGCCTTAATGTTATCCTCACTCGTTCCCAGAGTCCTGATATTACGACCGGCGAAAATGTTGTAATACGTGGGAGCATTCCATCAACTCTGGAACTATTAGCTGAGGTTCCTTACTGTTTTTCAATAGAGAGAGTGTTTGTCATTGGCGGTGGTCAGATATTTAGGTAAGATTTTAGCAAGAATTGTTGGATTTCATTGCATATTGTTGGGGGAATATATATTATTTGATGTCTTAAAATTGCAGGGAAACGCTTCATGCTCCAGGTTGTGAAGCCATTCACATTACTGAAATTGAGACAAACTTTGAATGTGATACCTTTATTCCTTCAATTGAATTGTCCTGTTTCCAGCCGTGGTACTCATCTACGCCATTGGTAGAAAATGATGTCCGGTTTTCCTTCGCAACTTATGTTCGTGTGAGATCTGGGGCTCCTGGTTGTCCTTTGAATATTGAAGGTAAGTGTAATGGCAGTCTAAATCATAATATTTTTGAGGTAAAAGACTTCACTTTCTTGCCCAGGATGATTCTTGAGAGACATGATGAGTTTATCTCTAAATAAAATCGAAACTTGTTCATGAAAGCAATGATTCTGACCGGCTAGATACAAAATTCAGTTGTCACTTGCCAAGTTAGTCTTGAACTTTGCGTCTCTATGCTACTGCTCTTTAGTATTTTAATGTGAATATGGGCATCTCCATGTGATTTGTAGAATGCAATTCAATCTTTGCAGTTCTTTTCATCTTCTTACAACTAGGTACTTTCTTTGTTGCAATATCTTGCGTTGGTTCTTGTTTATTGAACTCATTTTTTGGTACAAAGATTCTCTTGTCCTTGGGGCTGCAGAATGAGCAGAACAAAGGCGTTCTAGGTTTGATCCATATGGTTTAGAATGGTTGTAAACAGAAATAGAGATTCACTGCCCTGTTTATAGCATTCAATCCCCCTTTCTCTGAAGTATTGGTTTGTGGATATACAATTACATGTTACATGATTTTTCTGCCAAGAACAGTGCTATTTAAATGACAATATATGTTTGAACTATATGTTTTACATAATTTGAGTTATTGTGGGAAATGGTTGAATATATCTAGTGTAGGTTAATGTTTTGCCTGGTTGGTAAGTGAAGATGTAGATTCGGGGTCATGTAAATCCTTTTTATGTAAGTGATCTCCCCGAGAATTATTAAAATTCATATAGAGTGAGGAGCAGCCACAAGACTGTTAGCTTCTAAAAGCACATTTTACTCCTTCAAAAGCAGTTCTGGTTTGGGGCCTCTGTTACAGGGATTGTATTAATTTAGTCCTCTTTTATGGAGTTCGGTTCAAATTAGTCTATCTACAATGGATATTTGTTCAAGTTTGTCCCACTACAGAGGAGACTGGTTCAAATTAGTCCTTGTACCTGTAAAAGGAATCAAATAAGGCCAAATAGTTTATTAAGTTTAAATTTATTTTTTTAGAAAATGTCGATTATTAAAAAGTTACCTACAAATGAAATCTTTTGTTTGGAATTGGACTTTGAACGAAAAGTTTAATAATTTAATGCCATTTTTAAAGTAGTAAATCTTAAAAGATTGGTCCCGTTTGATTCTTGTCGCTAGTACAGAAACTTAATTGATCCTTTCGATAGTAGATAGATGTTGAATTAATCTCTACAATAAAGGGGCTAAATTGATCCAAAAATAATATTGAAGAGACTAAATTGGTACAATAACTTAACTATATAACTAGGTTAATCTTTGTTGGAATTTGGAAAAGGGTAATTAAACTATTCAATCTCATGCGAAAACATAATTAAAAAAACGGTTTATAGATGGAGATGATAGGTACAAGCAACTAACATTAATAGCCACCTAAAAAGTGAAGAAAACTTGAAATAAATAGAAAATTGACATGTGACAATCTCTTTCAATAGTCTTTTTCCTACTAAAGTGAAATGGAACAAACGAGATGTCGAAATCGTGCAATCGATTCATCAAATAAGATAGATGTTGAATTAATCTCTACAATAAAGGGGCTAAATTGATCCAAAAATAATATTGAAGAGACTAAATTGGTACAATAACTTAACTATATAACTAGGTTAATCTTTGTTGGAATTTGGAAAAGGGTAATTAAACTATTCAATCTCATGCGAAAACATAATTAAAAAAACGGTTTATAGATGGAGATGATAGGTACAAGCAACTAACATTAATAGCCACCTAAAAAGTGAAGAAAACTTGAAATAAATAGAAAATAGACATGTGACAATCTCTTTCAACAGTCTTTTTCCTACTAAAGTGAAATGGAACAAACGAGATGTCGAAATCGTGCAATCGATTCATCAAATACTTATTAGATAGTTTGATCAAACTCAACATCTCGATTTGTATGAAAATGTGACCCCCTCCATAGTCGGCATTGAGGATACCTTTGTGCTTTGCCTAACTCGCATTTAAAAAAAATTTAGTACATGCTTATATTTATATATACTGGTAATTATTTTTTGTATGTGCGGACAAAAGCGTTGAGAGTTTGTGCACATTTACAAAGAACAGTAGTGAACAATGCCATTAGTAAAGAGCGCACCGTTAATTGAGTTATTCCAACTTCTAGAATGAATCTCCCATGCTTTGTAAATATGTATTTTGCAAAAATACAAATTATTCATAAAGCAAATGTCAACTGAAATCTGCCGATGAAGTTGGAGCATCGACAGTTTTATGATGCAGTAGGGAAAAAGCTACTCATTCTTAATCCATAACTACAGGAAAGAAATGAATTGCTCTACCTCTTATCATTGGGAATCTGTGAAAACTAGAAACTTAAATTGGCAACAAGCGATTACGTTCGGAATATGGGGATCTTTGTTTTACAGAATGGAGCAATGATGGTAAAAATCATCACGCACAACATACCAAACCTCACATCTCAGGCATGTGTTTGGACTGTATATCACAATATCCTTCTTCTCCTCCTTCTTCTCCTCTTTCGCAGCCCCTATACTTACAATCGATGCATGTTTTCTGAATTTCCTTACTTTCTTAATGATCTTAAACGGATCGGCTTCACCTGTCACCGTCACGGTATTTTTTGATGCATCGAGGACGATAGAAGTTATCCCTACAATGTCTGAAATGACCTTCATTACATTCTGCCTGCACTTTGGACAAAAGAGCTCCACTGACAGGACTGTTTTCTGCAACAGCATAAGAAACGAGTCAGATTCTATAGTACATTGTCGGAGCAGAGACCAATATCCTAAGACCAGTAAAAGTACTGCAGGTGTCAGTGAAGGTTGCAGGGGGAGAATGGCAGAGAATAAATTGAAGAGTTAAAAATTAAATGCATTTACAGAAGAATCATCAAATAATATAAAAAATTATATGGAAGCTAAATAGGGTTGGAGGGAAAAGAACCTTTGACATGGTTCTGAATAAAGCACACACTCGCCAAAGTTGTGCTTTATATAAAATTATTACTAAGTCTCCCAATTTGGTTAGATGTAAATGTCTTGTGATTTTGATGTATTCTTCTTTTTCGTTTTGGATAGAAGTTTAGTCGGGAACTAAATGGACCGACACGGTTGGTTGAGCAGTAAATGCCACACAGAAGATGTTTGATTGGATACCAGTGGCATCTTGCTCATTGATTGTGAAAAAATTTCCTACACATTATCCTAAAAATTTAAAATTATCATATATTTTAGAATTTTTTTCAAAAATTTATTTTCGTCCCCTGAAATTTTATAAATTCGTTCATTCCTAAATTTTAAAAGTTTATCCTCGTAACATAAAATCTTGCGTCCGTCTCTGCTTTCAGAATTTGAACTCATAATGACCTTGAATCAGTTTTGAATGAAACATATAGCGAGGTTGCAGTTTCATATTGCTAAAATTAAATCATACAGGCAGTAGTGCATAGGGAGTTGATGAATTAATGCTACGACTTATGAGTAGTTCCCACTGGACTGAGCAAACAAACAAGCATTTGTACAAGGTACACACAATCTGATGCGTTATCCGAGGATATTGTCAGAGTGACCAGATACTGCATTTTATTCTGATTGCACAATACTGTCTGCCCTGTGACCTTGGAGTTTTTCAGTACAAGTCTATGTACTCTCTTGCTCCGATGGTAAGTTACAGGCTAATGGCTGAGAATTTGAGATCATCAGGGTCCAAGCTAACAAAGCACAGGAGATTGACTGAAAAAAAAACTGATCTTTTCATGTACAACTCAAGCGGTTACTTTAACAAATTTATTATGTTAAATCACCAAACGACACAGGCAGACATCACATTTACAGGTCGAAGGAAACAAAGAACAGAATTCATTAGTTAAGCTTTCAAAGAAAAATTGTGTTCTCATTGTCATTAAAGCAAGAGTACAATTTTCAACCGTCGAGGTTTCCAAACAACGAAAAGAAACAGTAAATTCAATATCCAGCCTGTATGAATTAATTTGCTATGGGGGCTGAAGATGAAATGACAATGAGTAGTTGATACATCACTTTCTCTGTTACTTTTTACATATTGTTCTGTCATTTTCTCACTTCCCCCGTTTTCTCCTGTTAAGCAGTAAACAGCCTCTTGGAAAGAAATGTTAAGCAGCTCTCTCTCTCTCTCTCTATTGAAACCAGATGAGACGTGCATGTATGATGGTAGCATTACAGAAATCAACACCGCAAGATATTAAAATGCATTACCTCGTTCAAGCAAAGGAAAAGTGTCGAGTCCAATGGCAAGAATAGGCCATCATTGACAGCTTACAATTCTTGAAAAGCGTAAAAGATTAAAAAGAACAAATTATAGGGATAGCCGGATAGGGTTAACATGTCAGGTAATTTACCGACGGACTATATTCTGTAAAGAGAAACGAACTGGATGCACATGGTTTATCTGATTTCAAGGAGGTCCAAGTTGCATGGACATAGTACACCAAATTTGAAAAGGCTTAAATTCCTTCCAACCAAGAAAGAAAACAAAGGAAATCAACTGGAATATATCTTTAAGTAAAAGATACATAAGAAAAATTATTTCCTCCAAAAACAGGTGAAAGGAACAAATTGAGCCTAAAGATGAGCGATATTCACCTTCACTCTTACTGTCTTTACTTGTACAAAGTTTAGGAAACGTATCAAAAGAACTACTTGCCCTTACCTGTAAATTCTTCAGTATAAAGGTTTAGGAAGCTATCTTCCAATGCATATCTTTGATCTCGTACACTTCCATTGGAATTTATTCTAACAGCTTTATTGGTTTCATGCTTGGTTTTCACCATATGAGAATAGCAGCTAACAATTTTCTTATAATGGGCTTCCATTTTCCAAATCAATGAAATAAACCTAGAAATTCACAACACAATAAGATAAACACGCATGTAACATGAGAAAGGAAGTAGATAAGCAAAAGAATTTCCTTGCTAACAAAGAGCTATATAATGATCTTTATAGGTTCCTTTAAAGGACTGAGCAGAATTTTAAGCCTGAGGTGAACTTGAACTTATAAAGTTTTAGGGGGTGAAAACAAATTTTCAATAAAAAATATATATAAAAAATCTAAAATATATGATGATTTTAGATTTTTGGTGTGGGGGCGTCCCCCAGGTCCATCCCTGGCCCTAAAGGAAACTATATGGTGCAAAACAGTACCAAATACTGGCTTCAAATAATTTTGGGCTACAATATCAGCGCATGAATCAAAAAATTATTTCAAGGAATCACTTTCAAATACTTTGACGGTACTAAATGCAACAATTTAGCAATAATGATGGAAAGTATAAGCCAAATGAAAAATGGCTTGGGAATCTACCTTGTACTCAAAAACTTGGTCAGTGTTATGAGAAGGGAGTCTACCATCTTCCTTCGGTCTGAAACGAATCATCGAACTACAATCCTTAGCGGTTGCAGCTATCAAAGTGATTTTCAATCTTCAAGCTTTCATCCAATGAAATGGAGTGCAAAGAGGTATAGCGGCATGACAGTTTGTCTTCACTCGATTCTCTACAAACCATACAAGGTTGAGAAATTATGTTGTAATAAGCATGAATTTCCCCTTCAATGTCATGAGTATCAAGCTTCTGAACTTCAAGAAGTTGATGTAAAGCACCAGAAGTATAAATTGTCTCGGCAACAAGTTGTATAAAACTAGTTGTGTGCTGGCCATTATCTGTCTGAATGACATTCTCAAGTTTATCTTCAAAGGCCTCACCAACCACAGCAGTTCTATCTGTGCCAAATACAACAGAACCATTCAAACATACACGCAAATTGTTCTGAGGAATGGAATACAGAACTTCAATAGCATTTTGTATCCCTTCTTTGGATCCAGAGAACAAATCCAGTGGATTGTATTCACTATATTCTGATATCTAAAAAGTATTTTTGGAAGATCGAATAAAGACAATTTAACAAAAAAGCCATATTAGCTAATATACGGGTGAGGAAGTTGTTAGAAAGAGACACCTCTTGCATGAGGAAACAGCAGCAATTTAGCACCAAAAATCACCTAACAATACCAGGATATAATAAAATTACCTCTTGATCAAGCCACTTCAGTGCTTGGTGTATTCTAAATCGAACTACGTTTTTTTTAACAGCATTCTCTTCGGCTATGAATCTTCAAATTGGGAGAAATCCACATTTGGGTATGGTTTTGAAATTGGGAGAAGTTGTTATACCAATCTTGATTAAATTTTTAATGATAGGTACCCAATTAAAAATTAAACTAAACATTCGGTATGATTTTAACAAAAATAAAGTTTAAATAGCAAAATAGAACAAAAAAAATAGTTTAGGTATTAAATGTGTAGTTGACCGTAAATAGTTTAACTCCTTTTTCTAGTAGAAAACCCCGCATGTATCTCTGTCGCTTGCCGGGAATGAATGATATTTGTGGGCCTTTTTTCAAAAGTCAAAGGGCCTCCAAGATGATCCACTTATACATAAAGAAACGTATATAGATTTGGGTTATAAAAGCCCTTTAAATTTATCACTTCATTTTACCTTATGTTCTATTTAAATATTTTTTATACAGTTATTAAAGCTACATAAATTCTTAAATTTTAATTAATTAAAAATAAGATTTTAAAAATTTTAGTATTTGCATTGATTTTAATTTAAAACTTTGATTAAAATAAATAAATTTGTAGCAAAGATATCTAACCATTACTTTTAAAATATATTATTAATAACGTGGAGATTGTAAACAAATATAAGTTGATCAAATGGTGCAGGACATTAACAGAAACCTAACAATTCACAATACAAGAAATACAAAGACTCTAATGCTATTACATACCTATACTCATAACAATATATTATTGTATACATATAAGACATGGCTCATTGTTTGTTTGAATCTCGTTTCAAAGAGATAGAATAGAGATAGCATAGCCCCATAAGGATAGGAAACAAAAGGCGAATAAAACAATTGTAGAGAATATAGCCGGCCTGCCTACCACAATTAATTCAGCTTGTCCTAAACCACCCTTATTACCCAACTTGGGGAGAACCAGGCTTCCCAATTCAGACGCACTCATCAATTGTCACTTATGTTTTCCTTTATGGAATTATTGCCGTGGGAAAGCTCCAGCATCAAACACAACTGCCTGTTAACATCTTATTGGGTCTTTACTGACACTTGTGCCATGCACTTTGCCATTCTATTTTGGTACTCCTATTGTTACCTTCTGGTTTTTCCCAATTTGCATGACTCAACGCACCTTCGATTTGAACTCTGTTTTCCTTTCTCTTCTTGCATGCGAAAGGAAGCAAAGGAATTTCGAAGTTTGCTAGCATTGGCTATAAATACTGGAATAAATCAGAATTCATACCCAGGTTTCCTCGTTATTTCTCTGAAAACAAATCACGTGTTTCACTTGTTTCCCTTTCTTCTCAAGTGTCGTTCTCAACATATGATCATCCGTCATTTACCTTCATATCTGGGATTGGCTATTTTTTGCCAAAATCCCAAAATCAATCTCATAAAAAGTACTAAAAAGCAATAGTAATTGGGGAGACTTCATGGCAGCTGCTTCAATCCTGATCATCCGTAAATGGTTGCACCTCTCATCATATGACAGCTACTCACTCCTTGTAATAGAAATGAAATGACAGATCTTTGATCACAATAAATGGTAAAATCCCTCCAATATCTATATACATTACTATATGAAGACAGATATTATAAATAATAAAAAATATATATTCTTTGGCATTTTTCGTTCGACCCTTTTGTTTTTTCATATTATAATTGGAATTATTAATACTTAGTGCTATCGAAACATGTTATGCAGACATTGGGATCTTCCGTTTCCATGGAAACTGAATCTTGTTTTTCTCTAATTAAGCAATGAAAATCCATTCGGTTTAAACTTCTCAATCAAACGTAAATTATGGAATTGGAATAATAAAAATGGTTGAGTTTTCCGGTTTTTAAGGTTACGTACAAAGTTATGCAG